CACAGACTCACTTCTTCCCTTTAAAGTTAATGGAAGGAAATAAGGGTCTGAGTCCTTAGAACCTCAAAAGGACAAGGATAAAGCTTTGATGGAGATAATATAAGTGGTGGCAGGAACATTTGGGAGCCAGTTGATACACTTTTCCTCTTAGAGAAACTCTGTGGATGCTTTCCCTACACTGTGGGAAATAAGTTCTAGATACTGGCTTCTTCCTGTGGTAACTATGTGGGTATGTGGGCCCTTTGAAATGTTGTACCAAAATGTGCTTCAAATATAGTTTAGTTATAAAACATTTCTGGGTGACTATGCATGTGCTAGCCACAGAGGCTTCGGAGATGAAACAGTTCTTACCTTAGTGTCGCTTAGAATCTAGTAGTAGTAAGTAATAATTGCTAACATATGTATTTACTATATACCCAATACTATGGTAAATATTGTTCGTAGATTATCATATTTAGTAGCCCTTAGCTGCTAAAAAATAAAAATAAAAAAAAATAAAGATGCCCAGTCTAGAATCTCATAATTATATGGTAAACACTAAAACGATGGTACAGGGGCGGGGCCCTCAGCCCACTCTAGGGAGGAGCAGATTACTGAGTGGTGTCTTTAACTGGTAATTACATGAAGAAGAGGTTGGGCCACCACAGGCAGAAGAAGGACCACAGCAGGGAATAGGAGTATGCATTTGTAGGGTATATAAGAAGAATTAAAGCAGATTTGTTTTGCTAGAACTAAAGATGTAGACAAGAGTCAGTATTACATAGGAACTTTGATCTGATGTTTTTAGCCATTAGGCATTGGCCATCTGGTGGAGAGCTGTTGACAGAACACAAGCAATTTTGAATTTTAAAAAGATAGGCTCCGTGGTATAGATAATGATGGCAGGAAGATGAGATGATAGGGGTACACAAACGAAGAGGTTATGGAAATAATCCAGGCAAAAGGTCAAGAAGGGCTAGGGTGGCTAGGAATATATCCCAGTATTCTGGTATGATAGAGGAGTTCATTTGAAATGTTTAACTTGATGCACAGTAGGTAAGTGAGTGAAAACTAAACTACCAGATTCTCAACTCTCAAACCCATTACTGGGTCAACAGTACTAAGTTTGAACTACAGTGTTGAAATTAACCTGATTCTACCTCATATTAGAAATTCTACATTCATAAAGGAAAAAAAAAAAAGAAGGAAATGTTACAGTCAGCCCCAAATTATAGTCAATTATAATTATTTTCCTCAAAATTGGTCTTACCTATGTTTAGTGGTAAGAACTGATTGTTTAATATAGGGAAAAAAGACCTAAAATTGGTGAGATAATTTGATTCAAATTCCAGAAAAAGGGAAAATTAGATAGTTCTGCATTTAGAAGAATTGACGATATTTTAAAGACATTCACATAAACACACACCCAGATAGATTCTTCACATTTACTTGTGCTCCAAAAACAGAAAACTATTGAAAAGAATGAAGTATGACAATAAAGTACATTAAAAAAAATAAACTAAAACACCACCAGAATTTCATTTGCTATTGTAGAAATTTACTTAGGTTACTTTCTGAGACTGGCATTTCAAGAAAGATACCAGAAATGTAAATAAAGTAATCATTATCCTTTATCTTCAACACCCAAAACCCCTAAAGTGACAATAACAGCTATAATTAACTTAATGTGAAATTAAAACGGGAACATTGATATATCAACTATTAATATTCAATATAAATATTAACCCATGGTAACTTACAACTAAAAGTATTTGGAGTGCACACGCCTGGTTAAGTTTAATATTTGTATGACAAATCCAGTTGCACATAACTGTTTAATAATATCTGATAGCTGGAACAGCCAAGGTAATTTTAAAGTATGAATAGAAACACATTCAACATGGCTTAAGCAAAATTAATAAAATCCTTTAGGTAAAATAGCCTTGAAAACCATATATTATGCTTGAGAAGGAGTGAATGTGGGGCTTGTCCTACATGGGAGGAAGGAGAAAAAGTGAGGAGCAATAATTCCTCTTCCCTTCCTTCCCCTCCCTAACATTCCCAGTCTCTTTGTTTAAAACAACTGGATATTGTCATTAAGCATGTGATGAAACTGAGGTTGCTGTCCATGTCAGGACAGGGATCCATGGTCTATCAGGACGTTTCTGCTGTCATTTTCATATAGCCACATCCCCATGCCAACTAGGATTCCTTTGGTAATAATTCTGAAACCATTGATGGGAAGTGGAAATTTCTTGGAAACCCTGAAATGGGTCATAGCACTTCATTAATTAAATAATTTCCAAGGTCATTCTAAGCACATGTTTCGTAACCTATTCTATTTCTCCTCCAAAATTATGCCCAGGCATCTTGTCCAAAACAGTTTATAAGTGGCTCTATGATGAGATCACGTACAAAGGTTAAGTGGGGAAGTTAACTAGGGGCATAATATCCGCAGTGCCACAAAAAGGTATTTCTAGGTCCTCTTACTGTAGAAGACTGATGCCTAGGACACCTGCCCCCAAGAGTTTTCTCCTTTCTTTATAATTATACAATCCAAAGCCAACTTGAGAGCATCTTATCAGGAAAATCTCAAACTCATGACATGGTAATCCAAGCTTGACCCCTTCAGTTTCCTCATTATCTAGCAGAGCAGGATTTGGAGTCAGCCTAGCTAGGTCTATTTACCTTGAATTGACTACTTAAAGCTAGACCCTCACAGAAAGCTCAAGGGTCTTGCAGTGTAAAAGTATTGATTATTGTTCTTGCCAGCAATTACTAAAAGGCCTGTGTATGGAAATATTCCCTTTTCCTCTTCAGTGAAAACTTCTCTACTGAGGCCTCAGCTGACCGCTGTATATGTGCTAAGGTCAGAATCTATAGAATCCAAAATCAAGCCACAGCAGCTCACACTCTCAAACCCTGACCATTTGGCAGTCCTCTCTCACTGTCTTCTTCTTTGCTGAGGCCAGTGAGACCAGAATTTGCTTGCTAGGCTATGAGCATCTGGTTTCAGCTGAGGGCCTTGTGTGGCTAGCATTTGGTTGGAGGGCCCTGAATAGCTTACCTCCAAGGACTGTGCCTTTGCTGATGCTACGCAGGCTCTGCTTGTTTGCTGAGGTGACCAGCCCATACCTTTGCTGGGTCCCTGGCACAGTTTGCTGACTATCTAGTACGTCTAGCAATACCTCTGAAAACAGCCATTCATATTTAGACAGAGCCACCATAAACTGCAATGATTCACCAACATAAAAATACCATGATACCATGTTTTTTGAGTGGCCAGGTTAGAAAAACAATTATTTTTTAATCTAAAAAGATTGCAATATTTTTCATCAACAGCAGTTCTAGAGAGAGTTGACACTTTGGGTCTGAGTGAAAAACAAAAACAAAAAATGCTGATCCATACATGAAGGTTCAAGTCCCTGCATGAGAACCGCTCTCCCCAGGAGTGCTGAATTTCTGCTTCTCATGGATCTGGCCCAGTGTACTAGTGTCTAACATTCCCCTTAATTTAATTTCTCCACTCAAATTGCAGAACACTGCCACAGGGAATGGGTCTTTCTGTCAAGAGAAGACCAGAAGCAGAGCTGAATGTAGGATATGGTCTCTGGAAGCAGCCCAGCTTCTGAAGGCAAGGGACAAAAGAATGGACTGGGCTGGGCCACGCATGCCCAATTTCTCCTCTCAAATAGGGGCCAAAACCTAGGAGCATTACACTAAAAGGGCTGCCTAGACATAAAAGCAAATTCAGAATGAGTAGTTCCTTTCTCCCATACCATAATTATTATTATATATCAGCAAAACCTTATCATTTTGAATACAGTAAGTAATTTGGCTGAAAAACATCTGATTTGTGAAATAATTGAAAAGAAAATATTGCTATTTTATACTAACACCAAAAATATGATTTGATAAATTAGAAGATTGTTTAAATAAGTAACTTATATATACAAATCAATGTTTATTTTAAAAATGTTTTCCATTCAGAATATTCTTACGAAAAAATGACTTACAAATCATTTGATTATTTGTTTAAAAAAGTAAAATTCATAAATTGTAAATTGCCTATATTTAAATAGTTGCCTTTTCACCATGTACTTTAAATGAAAAGTAGAGGTACCAACTCTATAGAGGGTTAGGGGGATAACCCAGGTCCTTTATCAAATAGTAATATAACAGAGAACTAAATAAAACTGTAGTGCCCAGCGGAGACTACTGACGTTTGTTCTTGTGGCAGCCTCCTCTTCTCATCCAGTTGTTTTGCCCAGGGTGGGTGCCTTGCCCATGGGACTCCTCTCCAGTGTGTGTTCATTGAACACCCACTGTGTGTTGGGCAAATGCTGACCCCTCCCTTCCCCAGGTCCTCCATTGGTACTGCAGGGTATAGTTCTTTAGCCCACTGTCTCATTCCTTCTGTCAGCCAACTGATGAGGGGAATCTTATCAACTAACAAGTGATGAGATAGTAATTATTTTGAATAGCTTGTTGTTCTGTGCAGTACCAGAGTTTTCTCATCTCCTATGTAAATACACTTTAACCCAAAAGAATGAATTTATGCCTTTATTCAATAAGAGATCTTTTTTTAAAAGATACATTCCAGTTTTCCTCAACTCATTCTACAAGTACAGCCCCCTCACTGTCTTGAGATAGAATGCTGCTGGCTGGTCTGCACTGTGTTTTTCTAACTACTAAGGCACGGGAGGTTCATATAATGATACGATACCCTGTTACATTTATATGGAGCTGGCCCATTTGTTATCATCCCTATTCAGCCTACAGAACTGTGGGAAATGTACTGTAGGATTTGGAGACTAATAAATTGGCATAGTTTTCAAATTGTCTTATAAGTATACTAGAATAATAATACTATATTTGTCATAATTATACTAGAATATTCCAAAATTTATGTGCAAATTTGTGATGATTGTGTCAGGTGCTAGAATGTGACTAATTTATTGAGATCTTATCCTGAAATGTTTAAAATGAAGACTACATGATGTTTTCTTCTGTTGAACTAGGAGCTGAAGCTAATTTTATGCTGAAAATTCATCCTCTGAAGAAATATCCTGTGGATCTTTATTATCTGGTTGATGTCTCAGCATCAATGCACAATAATATAGAAAAATTAAATTATATTGGAAAAGATTTATCTAGAAAAATGCAATTTTTCACCACTGACTTTCGTATTGGATTTGGCTCGTACGTTGATAAAACAGTTTCACCATACATTAGTATCCACCCTGAAAGGATTCATAATCAATGCAGGTATCTAGGGTTTGATGTGGATATACTCAATTTTTTGCTTATAAAATCTCACTTTGTTTTTAATGTAAAGAACATACCAAATTTTATATTTTTGTATAAAATATGAATAAAAATATTTGGTGAGGTGGGGAGGTTTGTTCATATCTGAAAACATCTGAGATGTCCTGTAGATTAGGCTTTTTATATTTCTTCAAATATTTAGTCAGTTTTTATCATCAAAAGAAAAAAATCCTACCTAATGTTAGTAACTTTGAATAAACCTTCAATAATTAGTCTGCAATGTATATAAATACCTCTTTGGAAATTCTGTATTTTTATTTTTTGATTGCTCCAAAATTATTGAATTATGGTTTGATACACTTCAAAGAGTTTGTGCCCGTGTTTCATCTGTCTCTCCATCACTGTGTTGTGACTGTGAATAATGATGTCGCTTATAATGTGACTACAAAGCAAGCTCAGCTGTCACAAAGAAAGTGGGTCAAAAGATGAGAATTTGAGTGCTTAGAAAGAGCCTTTTTTCTTACCGTTTTAGAATTCTGATTCTAAATAGCATACATCCCACTATGAAAGAAGAATTAACCGTAAAAATACAATGTCACACAATATTGCCATTAGCCTGTAGAATTTTCAGAAAAGCAAATCTGTATGGATCTTTTTTAATAAAAGACTTTATCTTTCTTGTGCCTACAAATTGCTTAGATTACCTTACAATATGTATTCCAATTTACCGAAACTGCTCTGTCATCTGATGTACCAGAACAGGATTGACACATCCATTAATGGAGTTTCATAAACCTTCTTGAGGTGAATGTGCCAGAGGACTCATTCTTACTTTCTGGATATCATGGATTCTCAAAATAACTTTCATTAATTTTGATTTTTCATCAATAATTCCACCAAGCATCATTTTAAAAATTAGTGCAGTGTTAAAAACAAAACAGTAATATGATATTTCAACTAAATTTCCCAAAAACCTTTTCCAAAAGGGTTTCTCAGCTGTTCAATGATAAGAAATCACTGCACATTCTTATATTCACCTTAAAAATTCACAGTGCAGATTAAATATTGAAAGCCTTTAATTGTTCTATATTTAAAAGCACATTTAATCATCTTCATTTTTTGAATACCAAATGCTTATAGTCTTATTTCCTACTTGTACAGAAGCTGTTACCAATATCAAACTTCTCTCTAATTTTATAAGCACAGATTTTTGTCTTATAATATTTCCCTGGCACAAAAGAAGTACTCCCTTTTCACACAACTGTGCAATTTTACTGTTTAGTATTCCAGAATGCTTAAGAAAAAAGAGCAAAATTTTACAAAATTTTACACTTCTTCTTTTCCCATATAGTGACTACAATTTAGACTGTATGCCTCCACATGGATACATTCATGTGCTGTCTTTGACAGAGAACATCACTGACTTTGAGAAAGCAGTTCACAGACAGAAGATCTCTGGAAACATAGATACACCAGAAGGAAGTTTTGATGCCATGCTTCAGGCAGCAGTCTGTGAAGTAAGACGTTTTCACATTATTGAGTGTTTGCTAAGATGCAAAACTTTCAAAGAATTTGGAATTTTTATTTTCTCTGATTTGTGAAGTAAAAACATAGTGTAGAAGAATACATATCTTACTATCTCTTTTTCCTCACCAAGGTGATTCATTTTGGTGTGCATTTGGGACAGAGGGGCTAAATTTGGGGAGGGATTTAAATAGGAAAAGATAAAAAGGAAAGAGTAGGTTATGCACATGAAAATTCTTTCCAAAAGTGTTGCTTTTCGCATGGACCACAATCCAAAGAACTAGAAGTAGATGGTTATCCTCCTCACTTCAGCTTGTTCCCCTACTTTTTAATCTATCTGATTCTTTCTCCACTGGAACACTAGAAATCTCTAACGAGGAACTAGTGTGGTCACATGGCTGTGGGAAAACAGAGGATATACAAATAAAAGTTAAAGCTATTTATGCAGCAGCATTATATCCATGCACATGGTTCTAGCCTGACTTAATGTTCCTCAACTCAAACATAATGTTTACTTGAAGTAAAAACCACAGTACAGATCTATGTTATTATACAAAGTCTAATTACATGTTTATTTTTAAGAGTCATATTGGATGGCGAAAAGAAGCTAAAAGATTGCTGCTGGTGATGACAGACCAGACATCTCATCTTGCTCTTGATAGCAAATTGGCAGGCATAGTGGTGCCCAATGACGGAAACTGCCATCTGAAAAACAATGTCTACATCAAATCGACAACCATGGTAATGTAGCTGTAGCCTCTTAGTAGATATGGCTCTTTTGGCTAAAGAATAATTTTTAATTGGCAACTCAACTATTTTTGTACCAGGAAATTAACTAAAAAAGAGATACAGAACAAGGATAAGCCATGAGAGAGAGTTTATGGAGCAGTGCAATCTATAAATACTGATAAATGAAATATATCACTAAAATACTTTGACATTTTTAGTAGCTGACTCTTTGATGAATGACAAAGCACTGTGTACTTTTTGAAAATAAAAATGATATAAGATTTTACTTTTTATGTAATTCAAGGACGGGGAAAAAGCATACCTTTGCTTTATAGAAATAGACCAATTCTACAGGGTCGGTATCTACAGACATTTTAAGGAGAAAACCTCGCAGTACAATAGGCAGAAACTAAAAGGAAACCAGGGAAAAAAGGTAAGAGAGAAGAGAGTAAAACAAGGCAGGCTTTCTCTACTTTGTACTTACTTCTCTCTGCAGCTTAGCTATTTAAGGACTCTTTTTAAATCAGTGAATATCTGGCTTGCTTCCTGAGGGTTAGTATAAGCCCTGAATCATGTATTTAATATAATCACCTAGAACCACATCTCCCCTGGCATTAGCTAATTCTAGTTGTGAAGAATCAACAGCCCAAAGCATCATTTACTTTTGATGTTGACATTTATATATTCTTGCAAATGTTAAGACAGTGTTCTTAAACTTTCTCAGTTCATAAGTCCCTAGTGTCTCAGTGATTTTTTTTCCATGGCACCTATCAGCCAAAAGAAATACCTAATAGTTCTGTTTTTTGAATGGTTAAATCAAAATAACTCAACTATTTATGTCTTAACAACTTAGTAGCTCCTTAAAAATAATACAAATGTATCAAGTATAGAGAGACATGTTTCAGTTTTAGTAAGTAACTTATTAAGAGAAATTTTCAAATCCTTTAGTCAGATTGGACATTATTACCCTCATTTCTTCTTCCACGTTGATTTTCAGGTTGACCAGCTTGGCAAAAATTAATGTCATTTAAAGGAATAGGACCAAATGTAATCTGAAAACTATGAACTCCCTCCAATCAGGTTGTTCATTGGTACCTGATACATGCTGAATGTCACTGTGTTTCTCTTGAAGATTTAAATTACTTCCTGCCACCCTTGGGAGTGTGCTGCAGTGCACCAAGACACCTCACACACAGTTTGGGAATCATAGTATCAGAAGGATGAAAATGATGCTAAAATTTCTGTGGTTCCCATAGGTAAAGTTTAAATAGATCACCAGTTCATCTGCAACACCCTACCAGATTTGTTCCAAGTCTAGAGGGGCAATTGTATTACCATACAAAATGAGTTCAACTCTTGGTCATTTTAGTTTCTTGCAAGTAGTATCAAAATATAAAGATTTTAAAATGTAACTAGAGATTGAATTCAAAAATTGAAGAATTGGAGTTATTCCAATAGTATCTTTCCATTTACTAATTGTCTTCTATTCAGCCTTATTTCACTTTGACAGACCCACCTACTTCTACTTAATCATTTCTTATCTATCCTTCCTTCTATTTAACCTCTTTTGATCAGTGGTAGAGTTCTAATTTATTTATTGGGGAATAGAAGAGGGTACAGGAAGAATTATTGTATGGTAAGACAAAGAGAAGATTTTTATTTTTTAAAGAAGAAATAACAATGACATTAGTCTTAAATTGTATTATGCTTTTGAAGTTTTGCCAAGTCACTGAAGTCATTTCTCTATAATTGTATTTGAAATGATACTATTGCTCATCTAGGGAGGATTTCCTAGGCAAAGAAATGCTGTCATACTTTTAGGCAGATACCATGTTATAGAACCTTATGGAAGTAAGTTATAATTCCAGTGGAATTTTAGATAGGGCTTGGATTCTTATGACATCAGGAAATTGGATGATTACATCAAAAACTTTTTTTACCGTCTTGGTCATTGTTTCCAGTATGTAAAGGAAGGACCCTCCTACATGTCACTGCTGTTGTGTATTGAGTAATCCAGGGAATAATGTGTTTGTTAACACCTTAGAAGGATACTTTTATTTTTTTTTTTTTACCCCAGGTCTTCAAGGGATTATCTTCCTAAAAATTCTCATTCCCTTCATTTGTAGGGTCACTTCCTACACATTAGGCCAAAGAAGCTGAAGCATTTTGATCAATCCCTTGGCCAGAAATTTATATATTCAAGATGTACTGCTGCTTTGGAACCTTCTATATCTAAAGCTACCTTGACCTTGACTCTAGGCATATTTATTTGCGCATTTTAAAATGACCTCTATCCTCTCCTATTTGGCCATTATGGAGGAATTTTAAATTTTGTATAAGACAAGTAATCAAACACTTTGCTTCCTGGCTTTATCTCCAGCAGCCAATACCAGTAGCATTGAATGGTATCTAAGCTTCTTGGTTCAAGGCTCTGAACCAAGATTCCTGAGTTTTTTATTTATAAAAGGAAATAATTGATTTAAAAAAAAAAAAAACCCTTTATATGTCTAAGTTACATGGGACAGAGTTCTGTTGCTTGTATAAGTAGTTATTTCCTGGAGGTCAGTGTGAACCCTAGACAAATAACAACTGCCATTTTATTGAATATGTATTCAACTGAAAGCACTGTAGCAATCACTTTGCATACAGTTACAAATTAATTCTTACAGCAACTCTATAATGTAGTCATAATTAGCCTCCTTTTACAAACAGAAGGACTGAGGGTCAGAAACACTAAGTAAGTTGCCTGAGGATAAACAGCTAAAACATTAATAAATTGCAGACCTGGTCCCAATCCATCTCAATCTTATATTAAAATCTACATTCTTTACTTTGCCACAGTCTATTGACTGAACTATAGAAGAAAAAAATAATAATGTTCCTGTTGTCGTTCCTTCTCTTTCTGGTTGCAGTCTTACTTACGAAAGTATAACCCAGATGATTTGACTTACATAAGTTATAAAACAATACATAAAATAATTTATATTTACACATTGCGATATTTGTCTATGGTTGCTGGCGAATGATGTTACACTATTGAATAAATTCCATTTTCCACTGATTTTTCTTCAAGATCAAGTGCCAGAATTAAAAAAAACTTTAGCAGTAGTATAGTTTCATAATTTATCCAGTAATAATGACAATGAGGTGTGACAGTCTATTTAAAATGGCAAATGCTAATACAAAAATTATTAATGGCATAGAAGATAGATTATTAATACTGAGGGTCTGGAATTTCACCCTGTCTCCCCACCCAGCTTCCCCAGGGCTATTTCCACCGTGAGTCAGAGCCCTCCCAGAAACTGTTCACCCAGCCCTTGGCAGAGGCCAAGAATAGCATCAGGATCTTCAGAAACAATGAAAGGAGACCAAGAAACAACTACGTGGAGGTCATCCAATGAACCTTATCAATGGGATTTTCAGATGTTGATGTGACTCACAGTTTTAAATAGAGAGAATCAAATTGGCAAGATCCTACCGAATTCCTATTTTATGTACTAGTGCATGCCATATAGTCACTAGTATTTACTAGTTTAGGCTTGGTGTTTTTCTATGCAGCCTTTTATGTATGCCTCATCACATTATGGCCAGCGATTTTTTTTATCCCTTCTATCACGTGACTTCTCAGAATCCCCTTACTGCTGGCTTCGTAGTTCATTCCTTTCCCTGCAGCCTTGTTTGGGTAGACTAGCTGCCGAATAGCTCAGCATCGCATAGTGTCTAAGCAGATTGCAGAAGGCACACTAGGCATTACTCAACAGCTTTGCTTTCTCATGGGCAAAAACATTCAACACCGTGCCTCTCCTCATGCAACTTTAATATGTACTTGACTTTTAAGTATGCCATTGAGGAAGCTTTCTTTTTGCTGTGAATCTTAACTATTTGGAATTACACTTAATTTTCCAGGACTACAGATGAATAAAGAGAGCTTAAGAAGCCAGTTACTAATGTAATCTGTAACTTTGCTACCCGAGTTAACAAATGTTCAAATAGCTATTATATTTATTCCTTTTTTCTGAAAGGGATATTTCTGACATATTCAAAGTCTGGAAGACATTTATAACTAATGCTGAGATCAGACAGAATTCCATGCAAGGAGATAATTGTGATGTTTTAGTAAAGAGATCTGTTAATTTTGTTTGCTGTTCCCTGACAAAGACATGACCTTTTCAGCTTCAGAATATGTTAAATCTCTCTCTTTTTCTGCTTCTCAGCTTCCTTGTCTTAGGCACATACTAATAAAAATGCAAATTCATTTTACACTTATTTTGTGCCAGGTATGGAATACAACTAGAAAGTTTTAAACACATGTGCAGCTTTTAAAAACTATTGTTACATCTTTTGGGGAATTTAAAAACTATAAAGTGCCTGAGTTCAGCTTGTTGAATGATCTGCTGCAAATTGTAAACACCATGAGAACATTTCAATAATAATTTTATAGGAGAACTAATTTGAATGTTTCTCATATTCTCAAAAAAGGTGGCCTGGAAAGGATCTCGGCAAACAATATTTAGTTGGAATTGTCTTAATTGAAAGCAAAATTGCATGTAGAAATCACCTGTGCCAGACTCAAAGTGGCCCGGCTCTGCTTGCATAATACCTTTTAAATGGTATTGCAAAAGTGACACAATAAAATTCAAATTTGATAAAAATGTTAATGGAATGGAATATTCTCATTAAATTAGATGTTTTAGGTAAGTCATACGGAAGCAGAAAGCTTTTTGTTGCCATTATTATTGAAAAACTTACAAAAAATCAATGCATGACCTTCTTTAGTAAATAAAGTATCGTGATTACAACTGATGTCAACTTTGACAGGGGCCACAAACTCAAACATCTCCAGGGCCAGGTAAGAGAGACGAGCAAGTGACATAGGTCAAGGAAAGCACATCCAAGAGCATATCTTGCCTTTAGGAACGGCCTCCAAATGTCTGTTATGAAGTAGTCTTTTGGTGAAAACTGTCTTTCTTGAGCAGACCTATGGTGTTTGTCTCTTCATGTTCATTTAACACCATTCAACATTCCAGTGAAATGTAGATATTGCTTTACTTCTATTTTATAAATGAGGAGGAAAAGGGTGCTAAAGGGATCAGAATCTTGTCTGGAGTCACACACCCCTACATAGCCGTGTCCATCGCTGACACTAAGCTTTGTGACATGAACCGCTACTCATCATTCCTCTGAATAATTACAGAATGATAAGTGAAAGGCTTTACACAAGTTAACCTATTTAATTTTCACCATCTGAATGGTAGATACTAGCTTTTATACCTGCTTTATACCTGTGGAAACTGGATTCCAGAAAGGTTCAGACAGCTGCCCAGTGTCACATAGCTAGTAACTGCAGAGCCAGCAGTTGACACCCAGGTGATCTGTCTCCAGAGCCCCTGCTGGTGGTGTGGTTCTCAGCTGCAGTGATTTTACCCTTCAGAGGACATTTTCATGTCCCAAGACATTTTGGCTGTCATAACTAGGGAAAGAGAGTGCTACTGGCAACTATTGGGTAGAGACCAGGATCATGTTAAACATCCTACAATGCACAGGACAGCCCCTTTGTCAAATAAAAAATACATCCAGCCCAAACTGTCAATAGCACCACTCTCAAGAAACCCTGGTCAGTGCAGTTATCATGGTACAACTATGTAGATAAAAGATTTATTATTGGGACAGACATTGACTGACATGTCATTTAAAGTTTCATCTCTAAATAAATCTCTATTTGATTACTACTATGCTGTTTACCTCTTTCCTCTAAAAAATCATGTAGATAATTGAGGTTGTTATTTAAGTTGTTTGGTTTTTATATCTTATTACAATATTCCATATTAAAATTCTATATTCTATTCTAAAAATTTATATTTGAATCTCACTTGTATAAAGAGAAACTTAAATGTGTTTTTAAATCCATCTAGATATGCACATTATTAAAATTCTACCATACATCAGTACACAGTTATCTCTATCCAAAATTGCTCCCAAAGAATCTTTCTTACCTCTTTTTTCCTTCTGACATTTATAAGTTACTTCCCATAGCCTTAATTACTTAACAGCTGTCTTGGCATATCGCTTTGCTTCTCTCTTTTACCCCTGACATGCTTGTTATCTCTATTAATTATTTTCAGAGTTAACAGAAACAATGTGTAATGGGTTAGACAGAGAGGGAGTTGGAGTTCAGGAGCAGTAAAATCACCAGAACAGGAGAGTTGGCTGAGAGGGAGTGTGTCTCCTGCCAGTGAAGTAAAAGACATAAGAGATAAAACACTTTTCTGAAGATAGGCTGTTTCATGAAGGGAAGGGGAAGGGGCTTAGGCAATGGCCATTAGTCCACAGGTCTCCTGTCAACATTGGTTTATTTAAACATCTGTTATCAATTTGTAATTTTTAAAAATCTGCTTTGAGGTACTTGGAATTTTCTTTTAAAAGAGGTATCTCTCTAGGATTCAAAAAAAGTCTGTTTTTGTAAGCTTGAAAAATCGACTTATCTTTGTAACAAGCTTCTGACCAAACTAGAACTTTCTAGATTTAAATGTTGTATACATTTGGTCAAAGTGACTTCCTGTTTTTGGAGAGGGGAAGAGATTAAGAAGTCTTCAAAAGCTGCTTACATCTTAGAGTGTCATTTAAATATTGATTTTATGTGAGTTAAGGAAAACCTGGTTAAAAACATGGATTACATTTTCCTTAAAATACAAATGTTTCTAAAAACTAAGAAGGGTGAATGGTTGGCAAGATGTGACTATCTTTTGTCAAAGCAAAAATACTTGAAAAGTAGTTGTTACCATTTAAAAAATTTTCCAATACAGCTAGATTTACCTTGCCTCTAACTTGTTCTCTGTATTCACTAGCATTATGCAAACTGCCATAAATATATTTTAAGATTATGCTTTTTATTAGGAACAAGGAATAAGAATTTAGCTGGCAGAATTTGGATTTTTGCAGCTTTTTTCAGTTACTTTAAAATTATATTCTTAAGAATTGCTGTGAGAAAACTTTTCTTATGCAGACCCACGTGTTAATACTTTTTAAGCTTCTTCATAAGTTGGTTTCATATCACATGTAAAGCCAACTCATGAAAATTTGATTTGTTTCTATCACAATTATAGATGATAGAGAAATAAAGTGTTATTTGTTACTTAGAACTTACATTATAAGTGAAACTAGTTAATTTAGCTCTTTTACCAAGTACACATAGAGAAATGTTTACCAAGATAGTTTAACCAGATTTTTCCTTTAATAAAATACAGTTAATATTGGAGAGTTCAGTGGGAAACAAAAACTATGGAGTAATTTGAACTTAAATGGTATGATACTAATTGGGCTCAGTTACATACTAATCTTTGGCTTATGCCAAAAGGCACCGAAGAATGAGGAGAGACTACCAGTGAACTTTTACATCTCTCTGTTAGGTATCTCATTATAAACTTGTTATTTGAGACAATCATCTTAATTTCTGGAAGACTATTTATAGAAAAAAAAATACCAATAGTATATCTAACTATATAAGTGTAGATAGCAATTTATGTAATCATCAGATTTCTCATGTTCTCTAAATTTCATTCTCATTTTCCTACTCTTCTCTAACTTTCTCATTACCACAAAGAATGGCACAGTTGGCACTACATAAATTTTATTTGTCAAAGTAAAGCAGGTATAAAAGATATCATACAACAAAAATATTGAATATAGTAAGTTGAGAAATCTGTAATCTGTACCTTGTATAAGCAGTTGGAAATAAGAATCAGAATTGCTATTACTTTTGAGCACTTACTGCCTGCAAGAAAATACACTAAATAGTTCACATACTGTTGTCATCTTTTTAATCTTGCCAGCAATCGTGGAAGGCAAGTATCATTCATGCGTTACCGAGGATGGAACTGAGAACTTTTGTTGTAAGGTGACAAACCTAGGACTTCAGTACAGGATTTTCTTCTTCTAAAGAGAGTTTATGCTATATCATGTTATATATCAAATGTGTATATATAGGTATATGTGGATGTTTGAAGGTGTATGTATATATATATATATATATGTTTATAGGTATACACACATACATGCATATATATTTACAGTTCAGTATTTGTTACAGAATTTCACCTTAGAATGTGATTGTCAGTAATGCGTCTCTATTTCTGAATATTAAATTCTCTGTCAGTTACATCACTTGGAGTCCAATGTTAATCTACAGAGATGCTGATCACTCTTTGTTAGTTATGTTGCAATCAGCTCTCTTCATCTTTTTAAGTTACAGGTTTTTATGGGACTTTTGTATATAAAATATTTTAATACATGGATATTGATATTATGTTTTTTAAAAAATGTCAATGTCTCTAGTAAAACCATAACCCTTCCCAGGTACATTTTTATGTAAGTCATACAGTTTTCTTAATAGATGTTTGAATATGCATAGGAGCTGTGAAATTTCACTCCCTTCTTTATTTCATTATTCATTACAGGAACATCCCTCACTAGGCCAACTTTCAGAAAAATTAATAGACAACAACATTAATGTCATTTTTGCAGTTCAAGGACAACAATTTTATTGGTATAAGGTATGTTAACTCCAAAAATGTGAAAATTAAAATTTTTTCATTGGTAATTGAAATTAAGAGGGTTCTTTAGAGCCATAGATAAGGACTCTGGAATTATTATACTTTGTACAATCTAAATTCTATATTGTATTACTAAAGTATCATTTACAATGTCTTAACTTAGCATTTCAGTATAATTTCTATTTAGGTTTGTAACATCTAGAACTAAATCTGAGAATTGTATTTGATACAGTTGAGGTCAGCCTGATGCTTAGGGTGGTCTCAAATGTGACAACAGTAGAGAAGACTCACCAGGCAAAAAGTAGTTCACAATCCATCTCTGCATCTTGCATGTCCAGATTCCTTCTTATTTTGGTCCATGAGCATATCCTCATGATAGGTTAAAACTAGAGACTATCAGCTTAATTCTCCATAGCACTGACACACCTAGCTTTGGTCTAGGTCATTGAATAATGGACCAAAAGGGGCCATTGAAGTGGCTGAGCTAATCAAAGCCTTCACACGTAAGAATAATCTTGGTGGTGTCCAGAGTCCTTTGGACCAGGTGAGACCCTCAAGCAAAATTAGCAGCTGTGTCACACTGGAGGTGCCACGGACCCCCCCAGCATAGACTGTTTCTCTATGACCCTGCTGTAGCTTTCTTTTCACAATCTTTAAGGCTCTTTTTTCCTAGAAACTCTCTTGTTTCCTTTTCATGAAGCTATGACACCCTAATTTTCATTGCACGTCTCTGTTCACTTGGTCTCCTTCATCTCCTTTGCTATCTTTGCTTCTACCATCTATTCCCTAATTGTACATCCCTCCTCAGTGGCCAGTCCCAGTGCCCTGTACTGATTTTTTAAAACTGCAGAGAAATTACATTTTCATTTGGCTTCAACAAATACTTGAATGCATTTGCATATGCCACAGCTGGTGTTCCTTCTACCAGTTTCCCTATTACCTTCCTACTTTATCATCTGAAAGTACTACTTTAATCATACCACTTCTTCCCTTAGAAATCTATGGTGAAACTTTGCTTATTTCTTTATTCATTTTGTGTAAATTTATGGAGTGCAAGTGCAAGTTTGTTACAGGCATAGATTGTATAGTGGTGAAGTCAGGGCTTTTAGGGTATCTGTCACTCGAATAGCACACATCGTACCCATTAAGTGATTTCTTATCATCCACTCCCCGTCCCAGGCCCTCATCCTTTTGAGTCTCCATTATCTATCATTCCACATCATGTATACATATTATTTAGCTCCCACTTATAGGTGAGAACATGTGGTGTTTTTCTTTCTGTGTCTGACTTAGTGAAACTTTATTTAATTTCCTGTTTTCTCAAATTTATATACCATGGAACCACTTTTTAAGGTAACAACAAACTAACATCTGCAGAAGTAGGACTCTGGCCAAAGTTAACTGGCTCAAACCACTTTATTAACCACAGTAACAGCTTCCACTTATTGGGTACTTAACTATTGTCAGGCATTGAGTTTGTAGACATTTATTAAACTAATCCTCTTAGTAACTCATAAAAATGAGGGCAGACATCTTAATATGCCCATTTTAAAGATGAGGAGTCATATTTAGGGAGGTTAAATGTTTGCCCAAGGGTTTCTAACAACCCAAATCCTGTGCTCTTAATGGCTAAGCTTAATAGTTGACTGAAATACTGTGCAGCTTTTTACAGCTTTTGCGTCCTCTTTGCTGTTCCGCTAACATTATTTCTTGATAGCATTATTGGCTTTAGCAGTTTCTTCCTATTCTTTTTAAAATGTGCCACTAACTGTAAAACCATAAAACCAAGTTTATTATTAATTGAATTATGTGCAAAGTCAGAATCAACTGGCTCCAAAGCCTGGGAAGCTCCAGCATGAGCCCCATGCATGCCCCTGTAGTCTTCTCCTTTTGACTACCTAGAGAACTTTTTTATCAATCGATAAAAAACGACCTGATAGCTGAGCTCTGTAATCCACCCTCCATCTGGCTGCCAGGATGATCTGTTGAAATCACAAGGTCAACAGTACTCCCTTGAGTAAAATTTTTAAGTGGTGCCCTCTGAATTAGAGGACCAAGTGTCAAAGTTGGCACATGAAGCCACGTGGTCTCTGCTTGCCTTTTTGGCCTTATTGCCCCACTGTTCCTTGCCTTGCAGGAATCCTTCTCATGCCTCCAGCCATGCTTCTAATCCTCCTGTGTACAAGCATTCAATCAGGCTGTTTCTTTCCTCTGTGCCTTTGTTCTTGCTGCGTACCTTCGCTTCTCATGTCTGGAAGCCCTTCTCCCTCCTTACTTTATTAACTCCTACTCATTCTTTAAGATATGCCTTATAAGTCACCTCCTCCAAGAGACAGTCCTTGGCAACCTTCCCCAGCTATGAAATGCTTGCCAAGTATCCCTCTCATTAGGGTCTGTGCATATCACTTTTGTTTCTCATGTTCAAATGTACAGTGTTTAGTGAAATTGTCATTTATATACTGTGAGAATCTTAAGGGTACAACTGTGTGACCTAGTGATTTAGCATCTCCAAAGTGGTATACAGTAGGAGCTCAACAAAAATCTAATAAATGAATTTTTTGACCCTATAAATGGTAGAGTTTTCCCTATGGCTTGAGGTACCAAATTATTAATGTCTAAGTAATGGTTGGCATACAGCAGGAACTTAATGATACTTGTGAATAGAATAAAATGCAAGAATTAATGGATTTCAAAACTTTTTACTATCTGATTTCCTACAAGTAAGTGCCATTTAGTCAGATTGGCCTTTTTTCTATATTTGCTTCATCTACAATTCGAGTAGACCTTTAAGCCTTCGTTCATTCTCCCTAAAAATACCTATGGTCTTCTCTGTAATTAATAAGCAACATCCATTAAGAACACATACTCCATGAAGTTTCCACTTGTGACTATGAGTTTTCCTAACTAAAGAAGTTTTGGGAAATGCTGCATTAAACAGTGTTAAATCATTTCCAAACTGCAGGCCTACTCTGAACCTTTTAATTTGCAAATGTGCACTTTATGTTTTTAAGTGGAAGAAGCCATATGCAGAACTTCTCAAACTTTTTTTTTGTAGGTTTAAAATCTTTTGGGGTTACAGTTCATGGAAGGCACTTGGGAGATGCTCATCTACACTTCGACTGGAATTTTAGTCGTCATGTACAGTGATTTCAGATACACACACATAGTCATGCACATGTACAGACACACACAACCACTATATGGGTATATGTTCTAACTGCTCTACTAGGTTGCTTATATTTTTCTTGTGTCTTATATGCTTTCATTCACGGATAACTACAAAAATATTTAATATGTGTTGGTTGCTAAACCATTGCATACTATTGTCATTGTTTAAATGCTACTGATATGTTTTATAGGATCTTCTACCCCTCTTGCCGGGCACCGTTGCTGGTGAAATAGAAGCAAAGTCTGCAAACCTCAATAATTTGGTAGTGGAAGCCTATAAGGTATGTATATATTATATACAATTTTTAAAATAAACTGTTCACCCCAATTTATGTGGCAAGGTACAAAGTGGTGCCATGTCATCTTGAGAGGAGAAGTAGAAAGCATATTAGATTAGGAATTAGGAATCTGAAGTTCATCCCTGGTCCTACCACTAACTAGCTTTCTGCTTTGGGAAAGTCATTTCTGCTTTCTTTACCTCACTTGTCTCATTGGTAATCAACTAAGATTGGGCTAAAGGCTATCTAAATTTCCTTCCACATCCAATGCTCAGTGAATCATGAAATCATGGCTATAGACTGTACTTTATTACCATGAAATTGCATCATTTCCTATGCCATAATGATAAAGTAGAAGTTCACGGTTACATAAATCAATAATCTGCCAGGGAAGTTGAACTATCTGGGATATAACAATTATTAAGAGGACTCTGTTGGAGTCTTTATGATCAACCACTTGATTGTTCAACAATTATTTTAGTGGTTTTATCAAAAGAGTTTGATGAAAAGAATCACCTTAGTAGATATTCTATTTTCTTGAGTTGATGGTTGTATGCTGTCATCAGTCCTATGAAGAGTGAATGCTTCAATGCAAAGAATTTAAAGAAACATCTGTTCTTTCAACCTGGGTCATTCCTAGATAGAACATCCTCCGTTAAAATGTTGCGATAATAGTGACTGCTACTTTTTTACCACTAATATCCAGTCACTTTCCATACCTGATCTCATTCAGTTCTCACACCTGACCTGTAAGGCAGGTGGTTAGTACTCCCATTGTATATTAGTAGAAACCAAGAGTCAGGAAAGTGAAACAATTCATCAAAGATTCCTCAACTAATAAGCAGAAGAAAGTGGAATCAGAATCCAGGTGTTCCTCTACTTCCAGCCTCAGGTGCTTCCTCCTGTGCAATACCACCTGTTTTTCTTTGTTTTACAGGGTGTCAAAAGATATGCTTTATGCTACCTTGACTTTACCAGTCAACTATAAAGTCTCATTTTCCCAAATTCTCTGACTCCCCTCCTGACACATAAAGCTTAATAGTTAAATTGTAGCACAAAAATATTTCTTTAGCAGCTTTATATGACAGAAGCATTTTCCATATTTTAAGTGTCAAGATTTACCCGTTGTGATGATATATGTGTTATCAATATTTAATTAAACTTTATCATAAAATATAAGTATTACTGGATTAAAAATGACTATTTTGTTAACAGACTGAGAAATATCTTTGAAGGACTCAAAATGCAGTCATGGAAATATGTAAAAAAACAGAACGATTTGAATGAAAATAATCTAATCCTTCAGTATTTCTTATTTCAAATATAATTGGGTCATTATGTGGAAACACTGTTTTTATTCATCCTTTTATAAAAAGAGACTCTTTGATCTAGTTAAAATTAAATCTATGATTTAATAAGCTTGACTCTGTTGCTTACATTTGAAACTACTATCATATGTAATTTAAAAAAATAATGTCTCTGCAGAAACTCATTTCAGAAGTGAAAGTTCAGGTGGAAAACCAGGTACAAGGCGTCTATTTTAACGTTACCGCCATCTGTCCAGATGGGTCCAGAAAGCCAGGCATGGATGGATGCAGAAATGTGACAAGCAATGATGAAGTATGTGGGTGTGCATTTTACCCTTTTAAAATAAATTAAGTTGTCTGGCATACTTTCTTACAGAAAAATCAAACCATTCTGAAAAATTTTACTTACTATTGGCTCTAAGTATCATATTTATACTTCGAGGTAACTTTTGTTGTTCCTCCTCAAATTTCCTATTTTAGTTCAGTTGATCTCTCCAAATCTCAGGTTTTAATACGTATATGTGTGTGTGATATTAAACAATTATTTATCAATAGTAACTTTAAACTTAGGTGTCATGACCAGTATAAATTAGGAAATCACATATCCTCAAATAAGTAGTGTCTATGTTTATAATAATGGTAATGCCTTTTCGGTTACATATTCACAAATTCTCAAAATAAATGTGAAATTGAGAGTCATATAACATAGAAAAGAATGGGAATGCTAGAGCAGTTGAAAAAGGCTAAGAATTCCAAATCTTTCACTCTGTGATTTCCTCAAAACACTCATAATTATCTAAATTATCTAAAAAGAAGTAGAGAAATTTGTTAAGACCAATACAAAATAAGAAGAGTCATCATTTACCAAAAAAGGATTGGGATGTAAAGAAGACAGACCCAGCTTGTAACAGTATCAGGAAACAGCAGCAGAGGAGATAGAGGTTCCCCAAGGACTGGCACAATAGAGACAGTAACACGGAGAAATATACCCGTTAAGGGACTCTTCGCTGGGTGAAGTGATTTTGGGTGAGTCACTGACCACATGACATTCCTTGTCTCATTTTTTAAATGAATGACTTGGACTAGAAGATTTCCAACCCCTTTTCTGCTAAGGTTTTATCATGATTAATTATGTAATGTCATGCTATAGAAAATAAAGAAAAAGTTATTGAAAGTGATAGAAGATTATAAAATTGAATAAAAGAGAATCCTCTCTGCTTTTTAGTAGAATATGTTTTTTTATCTTAGGAATTTTAGAGCTGTATATTTTAAATTAATTATTGCAAGTTTCAAATTCTGTAGTTTCTTCTATAATCACTTTCCTTGGATTTTGTTCAAAAGACATCATACACTAGTGTGCAAAATGCACTTTTGCTTTTCATTAAAACTACAGAGAAAACTTTTTACTAACAAATATAGCACTAAGTTACTTTATGAAAAAATGGTTACTCTCTAAGAAAGTTATTTTCTTCAAAATCTCATTTTGGAAGAATGGTTTTTCTTACCTTTTACATTTTTTCTTTTCATTTGCTTATATATCATCTTTCCTTCACTTTAAATTGAGTGGTATAAATAGTTTAACTATCAGGAATAATCATATAACCTCTTAATTACAGAAACCCCAGGGTTTGATCTGTTAGAGATGGCAATGACCACATTAACTTACATATCTGTTAATCCTCAGCATTCTCAAAAACAAAAGCACTTTAAGTATAACAACAATTGTATTGATTTTAACATTATGGAACCAATTCTAATGTTTCATGTATTTGTAAGACTAAATTTAGATATTTTATATTATTATATCATCATATACATATATTCCATCCTAAAAGCTCAGCACAAATTAATTTTAAATTGTAATGAATCTCAGTCCAACATGAAAGAAACATACCTTCTTATTTACCAAAGTACCTAAAGATGGTAAGATGATCCAACAAATATAAGTAGACGTATTAAATAATTGTGTTGTGCAAAAAGAAGAAATAGAGAAAAAGAAAACATTTGACCAATTCCTGCCAGCGCAGTTCCTGAGTTCTGAGCTAGCTTCTTCCACTGAGACAAATCAATGACCTGTGTTGATGTTTTAAGATTTGAAAATGAGAGTCCTAAACATTTTTCTTTTGAGTAACATCACAGAAAGCCGATGTTTTCCTCCACGGACACCCTTTATAAACTAAAATTTAACTCTGAAACTTGACTTGGGCTCCTAGAAAATAGGAACAAAATTAAAATGGTTTGTTTGAACATCTCATCTCAGGGTTTTGACTTCTTTTTTTTTTTTTCCCCTGATATGGAGTCTTGCTGTGTCGCCCAGGACGGAGTACAGTGGAGTGATCTCAGCTCACTGCAACCTCCATCTCCCAGGTTCAAGCGATTCTCCTGCCTCAGCTTCCCTCCAAGTACCTGGGACTACGGGTGCAGGCCACCACAACCAGCTAATTTTTGAATTTTCAGTAGAGAAGGGGTTTCACCATGTTGTCCAGGCTGGTCTCAAACTCCTGACCTCAGGTGATCCAACTGCCTCACCTTCCCAAAGTGCTGGGATTACAGGCATGAGCCACCTCACCTGGCCTCATCTGAGTTTTAAACCAGTAGAGCAGAAGCCTTTTACTTTGGTTTATGTGCTCTATTCCTAGTGTCAAATATTCAATAACCCCACATTTTAATGACTGAACTTAGAAAATGGTCTATTCTTTCTCATGTTTGTTAAGAAATTAATCATCAGTGGTGGAGTAGATGCTTCAAATAGGCTTGCACTCAAGTCTATTTAGAGGTGCAATATAGACATTATTCTTTAACTCTCAAGTTCGTTAATTGGGAAATAAGTGACATTAAAAAGAGATGTTGCATATATGTGAAAGAGATTACACGTGTTTAACAAATATTGTTAATTTCTCCAAGATGGTTTCTTATCAATTCAGTTATTAACAGATATAATATTGGTAATAAAAATCAAGGTATATAAATATATTTCCTTTTTCCTCCTAAATTTAGGTTCTTTTCAATGTAACAGTTACAATGAAAAAATGTGATGTCACAGGAGGAAAAAGCTATGCAATAATCAAACCTATTGGTTTTAATGAAACCACTAAAATTCATATACACAGAAACTGCAGTTGTCAGTGTGAGGACAACAGAGAACCTAAAGGAAAGTGTGTAGATGAAACTCTTCTGGATTCCAAGTGTTTCCAGTGTGATGAGAATAAATGCCATTTTGATGAAGATCAGTTTTCTTCTGAGAGTTGCAAGTCACACGAGGATCAACCTGTTTGCAGTGGTCGCGGAGTTTGTGTTTGTGGGGAATGTTTATGTGACAAAATTAAGCTTGGAAAAGTGTATGGAAAATACTGTGAAAAGGATGACTTTTCTTGCCCATATCATCATGGAAATCTGTGTGCTGGTGAGTATAAATATATACAGGCAACTTTTACTTGTCACTATTATACTAGCATAGATGTTAAAGTATCTTTAAATCACATCTTTATAAATTACCAAAACTGAATCTGAATTTGTTAAAGTTTCATAGTCCATGAAATTAGGGCACGGCAATAGATTTATAGCATGTGATTTTGATATTTATATTTCAACCTATTTTTTTTACAGGAAATGCTTCAACATAAAAACCTAAAATTAATTGTTAGTCTCATGCATTTTTTGATCTTGGGAAAAAAATATACAAGAAAAGGAAATGCTGATGATGTCTGACACATCTTCTAGAAGAATCAGAGTATTCTTCTAGAAGGATCTGATTCATTCTGGTAAATGGTCACTCCCTCCAGCTTGCTCAGAGGATTTTATTTCTGTCAGGATGATGGGGAGTGAGTTATAAGAGTATACTTCTCATTCATTTGAAAATCCTTAATGCATTATTATAAATGGTATTCTAAGATGACAGTAATTTAAGCCTCTGCAGTTTCTTTTGGGCCACCACCAGCAACAAAACTGCCAAAGGACAGCATTCTTCAAGAAAACATTGCTTGACTAAGTAATCTAAAAGACTTGTCCTTGAGGCCACACACAGACCAAATTTTAAAAATGGAACAAATTAAAATAAAAATACCAGGATTACTCTTGGGCCATTCAATTTACTGCCACCTACAGGTTAGAGTCCAGAAAATCTAATCAACATTTGCAAACTAAAACAAAATACTGTTTTAAAATGAATTAAATAAACTACCCATTATCTGAGTTCTAGGATAATTTTCTTGTGACAATGTGCTAAATTTACTCAATGCGAAAAACATCTTTTTAGTATTTGCATTTTAGTAAATAAGTATTTGTTAAATTATTGATGAATGGAAACATGTCATCATAAGCATATGGGAAGTAACAAACCTATATAAAAAAAGTTATAATCTAGTCTAAGCTGAAAATTTGGCCTGTATCACCTAAATGTGTAATAGAAAATTATCTTCCTATTCTATTACATACATAGACTATTTTAATATATAAGCATTTATCAACTGTAACTGACATCATGGGTAGGATGGTTTACAGGTGACTTTAGAATGAACCAGCAGTTGTCTACCATATTTTCCAAGGAGGAAAAATATTATTTTACAGTAAAGAGAAATAATTTTCTGAGGTCACATCCCACAGCTGTCAATCTCTCAAGAAAGTTTCAAATACATTTGAGTATTTGTCCCAGTCTCTGCACTAGAATATCAAAAAATTGATGTACTAGTTTTTCTATATGATTATGATACTACTGATCTACAAGCAGTTGATAATCTGTTTTGAATTGTTTCTGTATAAGTGCAGACTGTAACTGACATGTACTTTCTCCACTAGTCTCCTTTGGGAATAAAAACACATGTTCACAGGCCTACTGGCTAGAATTCAGCATAAGCCTGCACAGCAGAGAGGGTCTGGCCAACATTTGTCTGGCCTGGACCTCATTAGTTTTACACTTAGCAAATAAAGCTGGTCCTACAGTAGAATCTGTGGAATGATTACCCTGTGATGTGCTCAGCCATAAAAGAACAGAGAGAGGGAGCTAAGAAAGGAAAGAAAGAGAGAAGGAAGGAAAGGAGGCAGGGAGAAAGGAAAGGAAGAACAGAGTGAGAGAGGGAGAAAAGAGGAAGGTTGGTTTGTGGCTAGATAAGCTTCAGAAATCCTATATAATCAGGTAAAATGTACCCCCTCGTGACTATTTCTAGTACACATTGGCATATTAAGTTTTGGACACTTTTTGCTGTCTAAAATCCATTTAACTATGTGTAACTGTGCTTTCTTCACCCCACATGCATAAGTGTTCCCCCACCACACACACACCCATCTTTCTTTCTTTTTTTCATTTACCATCTAAGAAGAGCTCACAGCATAGAGGCAGATCTGCCCTGCTAACTTACTAAATAATGCACTGAAGACATGAAAGCATCAGCTTCTCAAGGGATCTGATCTTTAAACATGGCACCAGCAGTACTGAAGCACTAGAAAGGTTTGCCTCACAGTCCTGCAAAGTTATCCTAGGCCTTCAGCAATATCAGAAGACAGAAAATAGATTATGGAAACCATTAATCAAATACCCGTATTTTTCTCATTTCAAGTCAGACAGTTAACATTACTTCGGCCTTTGCAGTTTATTAATATGTGTGTGTTTTAAATTTAAAACTGAATATGCAATGATATTCAAGTAGTCTGGGAGCCACTGAAGCAGGGGTGCCTTCGTGCTTGTTAGCAGAGTTCATTAGCATGGGGAGATTATCTACAGAACAGCTTTGAAAATAGATCCTCCTAAATCCAGCACTGTTTGTGTCAGACCAACAAAAAAGTGTTGCTGTTTCCATTCATTGGACTGTTAGTGTGTTTCCATGGAGATGATACAGGAATCTATGGTTGAAAACTTTTTACAAAGTCAGTGATTCAGATAACAGAGGTTCTGCGGTGTCTTCCTCACAGGGCATGGAGAGTGTGAAGGAGGCAGATGTCAATGCTTCAGTGGCTGGGAAGGAGATCGGTGCCAGTGCCCTTCAGCATCAGCCCAGCACTGTGTCAATTCACAGGGCCAAGTGTGCAGCGGAAGAGGCACGTGTGTGTGTGGAAGGTGTGAGTGCACCGATCCCAGGAGCATCGGCCGCTTCTGTGAACACTGCCCCACCTGTCATGAGGCCTGCAAGGAAAACTGGTATGATTTCTCTGACTCCAAACATACATAAAGAATAGCTACTTTTGTCCTTTTTTGTTCTGCCTTCCTTAATCTTAAAAGTTACCTGATACATTGTTACCATCATGCCACAAAAGAATTAAATGAGAAATGCTATGAAATGGAAGACCTGGATTGAAATCTTTGACTGCTGGATAGCTGTGGAAGCATCAGAATAAATCTGGGCACTCATGACCTTACCTTTTTTGAAATAGGTTTTTGAAATCAGAAGTTACCTGCTACCCAGCTTACTATTTAGTTATAGTGGGATCAATCTAGAACAAGTTGTTATAATTTTCTGTGCCTCAGTTTCCTGATATCAAAAGTCAGGATAGTAATAACAATAATATCTTGCTATATTTCTGTGAGATAATCAAATGATTCATATTAAAAAAAAACTCAGCTTTGTACTTGATGCAAGTCAATCATAGAATAAATGTTAGCTATTACTGCTATGTTTTATTTTTAATATTTTAATGATAAAGAACAATGGTGTCTGTGATGCACCCTAGAAATAAGTGATATGTTAAATGAAGGTGACATTACTGTTTTGTGTCAACAAATTTTTCAGTAGCAATTTGAGATCGGCACAGAGACTATTAATCTAAACATCACTGTCACTTCCAGTTTGTTTTATTCAACATTTTAAACCACTGACTTTCTCAGATTAGTAGCTCACATAAGCTTTTTGGACTTATGCATGGTAATTTATTTTAATCATTTGGTAATGCAATCCTTAAACATAATGATGGAGTACTTTCTAATAAACCTAATCAAAATTTGAATTGTCTCTGCATTGTTATTTTGTCTTTTTTTCTTGCAGAAAACATTATAGTCTACCACCTTTTTGAAAAATGAATACTTTCACTTCTGTTTTCCCTTGCAGGAATTGTGTGCAATGCCCTCACTCTCACAATTTGTCTCAGGCTATACTTGATCAGTGCAAAACCTCATGTGCTCTCATGGAACAACAACAGGATTTTGTTGACCAAACATCAGGTAGGCCAAAGCTTAATAATCAAAGCACAGAAGAGTGTCTGTAGAGGATGCTGTTCCCCAAAGACCCATACTAAAGAAAGGACTGGGCCAGACACGTGGCTCATGCCTGTGATCCCAGCACTTTAGGAGGCCATGGTGGGTGGATCACTGAGGTCAGGAGTTCAAGACCAGCCTGGCCAACATAGTGAAACCCCATCTCTACTAAAAATACAAAATTAGCCAGGCATGGTGGTGGGTGCCTGTAATTCCAGCTACTCAGGAGGCTTAGGCAGGAGAATCTCTTGAACCTAGGAGGCAGAGGTTGCAGTGAGCCGAGGTCGTGCCACTGCACTCCAGCCCAGACAGCAAGAGCGAAATCCCATCTCAAAAAAAAAAAAAAAAAAAAAGGACTGAGGGCTTCATTTTTAAATTATGAAATATTGCTTTATTCTTTATAACATTGTTTTATTTTTAAACAGCTTTATTAAGTATCATTGATATAGAAAAACTGCACATATTAATGTATACAATATAATGAGTTTGTGATTCAGTTTTTTAAATCTCCCAGAGATGGTACTCTATAACCAACTGAGTATGCTTGCCATAGTGTGGCTGAGTGGTTAGGTTTCCTGTCTCATCTATACAGCTGAATCTCCATGCAATGTACTTCCATGGAAGGGCATCCAAATAAATTGGCTAGCAAGGCCTCAGTAAACCAGAAATATGAGTTTTCCATGTAGACTCATTTCACTAAGAGACAAAGTCTGTGGAGCAATAGTTTTCCTTCATAATCCAAACTTGCTTCCAGTTCTGAATGTCCTCTTGTCTATTCAATATTTGCTTTCATGTTTTAGGTGAAGCCAAAAAACTCTAAGTAGCAATGATCTGTTTTGCAAAATACGTAACTTCAGAAGGGCCATTCCTTCCTAGTACTTTTCATTTTGATAAAAATATAGCTTAGGGCTGAATGATTATAAATGTGTTATAATGAAAAGGTATGGAACTTTTAGTTTGAAGACCTTGGTCTAAGACATGTCTCTTAAGATTACTAGTTAAAAGATAGCAGCCTTCCTACAAAAATTTCCCTGAGCCTCAGTTTCCCCATCTGTAAAATGGAAATAATGCCAATCTCAGAGCTGTATGACATTAAATGAACCAGTGAACATGAAGGGAGTATCTAAGGTAAAAGATGACACATAAAATGGGGAATACGTGAAAGCTATACTCAAAGACTCTTTTTAAACAAAAGTTAATTAGAACTTGCCGGCTTCGATGGCTCTCGCCTATAATCCCAGCACTTTGAGAGGCCAAGGCGGGTGGATCACCTGAGGTCAGGGGTTCGGGATCAGCCTGAGCAACATGGTAAAACCCTGCCTCTACTAAAAATACAGAACTGGCCAGGTGTGGTGGCGCATGCCTGTAATCCCAGCTACTCAGGAGGCTGAGGCAGGAGAATCGCTTGACCCCGGGAGGCAGAAGTTGCAGTGGGCCGAGATCACACCATTGCACTCCAGCCTGAGCAACAAGAACAAAACTTTATCTCAGAAAAACAACAACAACAAAAGCAGACCAAAACAAAAAACAGTGTATTTAGAACCCAGATCCTTACTTTGTACAGGGGTAAGGTGTGGAACTCCACATGCATTAGAAACTAACCTTGAAGTTCTATCTTTATTAAGATCATTCCTATTGCAACTATTATTTCAAGTCTCTCCAACCTGTAAGAAAAATTCCATCTCTTAGGAAGACTGCACAAAAGAATACACTTTTCTCCAGAGTTTTGTTTCCTTTTTCCCTCCCATCCACACTGATCTTAGCCCATCATGAACTTGGCTCTGAAAAGAGCCCCATGTGCTGCCAGCTGGAGCTGCAGCAATCACTCCAGAAAGCCAAGTGCCTTTCTAATAAATAGGGACTTATTATCAACATGTCATTTATTGTGTTAAGTAAACACTACTCTGACTTAAGTGTTGTTCTAAAAAGTATTCCCTTAAAGCTTCTTAGGAAAAGCCCTGGTCTGACCTAAACTAAAGAAAGCATAGGCTAGGCATGAATGTTTGACCACTCATGGCATTTAAATATGCATACAGATTTGAGCTCTGAAAATGCCCTCTGTCCTAACCTATTAGAAATATTTCTAAAATGTCAGTAGCTAGGGGGCCCCCCTCCCCTTCACAACTATTGTACAAGGAGAGGGGAAGGGCATTTGTTAGGCACCTCTATTATCTGTCCACTCAGTCACACTTAAAGGCTGTTCTTTCAGTCTCTCTGGCTGAGCTTCCACCAGGCGAGAAGCCAGTAAGTGGGATCAAGCCTCCTGCCCACTCTGAGGATCTGCCTTAGCTGACTGAGTAGTCCTCAATTAACCAAAGGAAATGACAATCCATCAGAACAAAGGCATGTGTGTTATGAGCCTGAAAAGTCACTGTGGAAGCCTCAAAAGACACTACCTTTGAGTATAATATTTTGATTCCCTCTCTGTGAGACCTGTAGCAACAGGGACCTGCAGTGGCATTTGGTATTTCCACTCCAATTGGAGTAGCCTTTGACTCTTCTTTCAAAGTATCTTATTACAAAAAAAAAAAAAAAATGGGATTAATTAAGTCTTCTCACTTGAGAGAAACCCTTGCCCTTGTCACTGAGTTTTGCCTTATTCAAGAACATGCTTGCTCCTCACTGGAAATTCAGACCGAAATCCCCCAGGATTGGGTGGTGTACTATTCTAAGCCTTGGTAGGTCACCTCCCTAATGGCCCTCTCAGGGAGACATTGGAACTTTGGATGAGGTCCACAAAGTCTGGAGAATGGGTGGAGGAACACATGCCTCTTTAGCTACAAAGTGCTTTTCTGAATCTGGGGCAGCTGGAGTGTTCCATGGAATACTTGGCTCTTGTGCAACCATCTTCCTCTTAGATTAGGGTCATGCCTCTGGCAGCAACAGAGCCAGTAGACATTTTAGCACCAGATCTTTGGCAATGAGGGTTTGCTAACGATCTGGTGCTAAAATGAGATCTCTAGTATGTCCCTCATCTTAACACAGTATTTCTTTTTCCAGTTAATAATTATTTGTTTAAGTATTATTTGCTCTTAAAATACACAGTGCATTTTTAGAGGCGAATGGAATAGGTGTAGTTAAGAGACAAGTAAAAAGTAAACTAATGAAAAAGGAAGAAAGGTATTTTCATGTTGTCCCTTATTGGACACTCCTATTTCCTGGAGAAGCCATGTATAATAATAATGAAAAGTTATACTTCAATTTCTGAATAAATATTTATTTACCTATTAGTTTTGATTTTAGCTTCTGCAGATGTTTATTTTCCATTACTGGCATGGAACAAAATGAAGACCAAGCATAGCAACAGAAACATATGCTTAGGTCCAGAACTGTTCAATAGTTTTTTAAAATCCTATTTTCCACTTAGTGATCAACAGTACACACCACAAAAACTATTCCTCTTTCTGTCATGGATAAAATTATGCTTGGTTACGGGACCTGGACATATTCCAGTTAATACAATTAAAGAATCAAGCTGCAAAGAAGTTATATGATTGAATATCTTAATCATGGCTATTCTCTAAAGGAAGATTTTCTATTGAAAATATTTTAATAGTAAATGTGCAAGAAAAGTTAGAGAGCTTACTGTTTTTGAGTCAAAGGTAATTTCAGTGCCCTGTTTTGAAAATGTATATTTACTAATATCTCTGGCATTGTTAAATGAGCTGTGAACATCATTTACTTGATGGACTCTTTTGATTTACTTATTCCAATTTTTAATCCATTTATTTGTTTTCTTCATTACAGAATGTTTCTCCAGCCCAAGCTACTTGAGAATATTTTTCATCATTTTCATAGTTACATTCCTGATTGGGTTGCTTAAAGTCCTTATCATTAGACAAGTGATACTGCAATGGAATAGCAATAAAACGAAGTCCTCATCAGATTACAGAGTGTCAGCCTCAAAAAAGGTCAGTGAATGCTAAAAAAAAAAAAAAAAAAAAAAGAAAAAATAATGCTCACAGTATGTTAATGCGTAGTTAAAATATTTAGGCTCATAATTAATAATACTTCTTCTCCATTAAGGATAAGTTGATCCTGCAAGGTGTCTGCACAAGAGCAGTAACCTACCGACGTGAGAAGCCTGAAGAAATAAAAATGGATATGAGCAAATTAAATGCTCATGAAACTTTCAGGTGCAACTTCTAAAAAACAATTTTTAAATACTTAACAGGAAACTGGAATTTTTAATAATTGCTCCTAAAGATTATAATTCTAAAAGTCACAGGAGGAGACAAATTGCTCACGGTCACGCCAGTTGCTGGTTGTACACTCGAACAAAGACTGATAAGCATCCTCATCATCGTGTGACTCACATGGCTGCTGAGTTTTTCAGAGAAAAATGTGTCTTACTACTGTTGGAGACTAGTGTCATAGTAGCACTTTACTGTAACATATAACTTATTTAGATCAGCATAGAATGTAGATCATCTGAAGAGCACTGATTACACTTTACAGGTACCTGCTGTCCTATACTTCCCAGAGAGACCTGCTGTGAGAGAGTTTAGCATTGTGTCACTACAAAGGTACAGTAATCCCTGCACTGCACACGTGAGGGAAAAATAATCCGGCAAGTATATTCTAAGGTTGCCAAACACTTCAACAGTTGGTGGTTGAATAGACAAGAACAGCTAGATGAATAAATAATTCATGTTTCACTCTTTCAAATGGTGAACAGATAAAACCTTAATCTTAAGAGATTACTGCTTTTTAAAGTGTGTAGTTCTAGGCATGTGTGTTTATGGTTTGCTTCTTTTTACAAGATAGATACTAATTCCAGCATTCTCTCCTCTTTGCCTTTGTTTTGTTTTTCCTCCTTACAGGATAAGTTTATATATGTCAGAGATGACTGGATTAATTAAGTGCTAAGTTACTACTGTCATAAAAAACTAATAATACAATGTCACTTTATTAGAATACTGGTTTTAAAAGCTGAATGTTAATAGGGAACACATTAAGTATCATCAAAACCTGAACAGCTTCATTGTGCACAGGTGTGGAGTTTTGTATCCTCTTACCTGGTAAACTGAAGGGATTGGCCATTGCATTTGTCCGATCATTCATTCACAAGATATTTAGAAACTCTGCCTCAAGCAAAGTACCACATTTTGAATGTTTTCTTGGATTTTGACTCAAGTAGATATCACCATTTTCAAATATAAAGCTATGTTATCTTTTCCCTTCAATGCAGCCTAAGGATGTTCTTTTCCTGAATCACTCCAACCCTTCTTGCCAGAATTTATTAAAAAAAACCCAAAATTAGAGAACAGATGGTATCTTAGAAATAAGCTATTTTTTTCTTTTTTCTTTTTGAGACAGAGTTTCACTCTTGTCACCCCAGCTGGAGTGCAATGGCTCAGTCTGGGCTCACTGCTACCTCTGCCTCCAGGTTCAAGCTATTCTCCTGCGTCAGCCTCCTGAGTAGCTGGGATTATAGGCACCCGCTGGCATGCCCAGTGAATTTTTGTATTTTTAGTAGAGACATGGTTTTGCCATGCTAGCCAGGCTGATTTCAAACTCCTGATATCCAGTGATCCATCTGCCTTGGTCTCCCTAAGTGCTGGGATTACAGATGTGAGCCACCATGCCCGGCCGCTAATTCTCCTTTTTAGTGAGCTAGGGAACTGAGCCTCAGAAAACTTAAATGATTTCTAAAAAAACACTCAAGTGATAAAGTGGCCACAATAGAGAGGAGTTTCCGTCTTCTCATTGCCAGGCCAGTGTTCATTGCACAATATCATGCTACCTCTTGAATCTTTAAAATATTTAATTGGCAAATGTTTTCCAATGTGATTTACTCGAGTCTTACGTGTTTGAAAAAAGTTCAAAGCAAAAGAGAAAGAATAATTCAGCTTGCAGTCTTTCATGCTAATCAGCTTCTGAAGAGACCGAAGCATGGCATACGTACAGGCGAATTCCCTCACACCAAAGCCTGCATGAACAGTGTTCCCTGGAGTTCTCCAGTGCTCAGCTTGAGACCTTGACACATGCGCTATGAGCCCTGTCTTCCCCAGTGGAAATTTCTTTAGACTTACCTTATCCCTATGGACTTAGTCTGACTTTACTGGCTAGCAGTCTAACAGTTCTGTGTGGAATACACAGTTTTGCCCATGACAACAAAGGACTCTATTTGAAATCTTTTTATAATTAACTTCTATGATTTGCTGTCTTCCAGCACTTTAAGGTACCAGATATTTGCATTTTGATGAAGACTAACCCATCCTATATTCTACCCTAAAGAGAACTGAAAAACCTATAATAAGTTGTTCAGCAGCTCCACTGGATGTCCTCTACAGCCAAGCAATTATAATGCTAATTTGAACTGTATTTCCTTCCTCAAATGGGAGGCTGACATAATTCAGTACTATGAGTCACTTGCATAAGAAACCTTTGATCACTAAAAATAATGTAAAAATTGCATTTAGTAGCCTAATACACATAACATTCTTTTTAAAAAGGAAAATGGATGGATACCTTACAACTCTCTGAAAGAAAAAGTGTAAGATAGCCATTAAGTTGACAATGTTTGAAAGGAACATGATGTGTGTGAACAATAAACAAATTTCTGTATGTAATGAATTATCCAAAAGTTTTACAAAATGAAATCCTTAAAAATCAAGGGTTTATATATGTTTTACACCCTAACTAGTTTGTACTAACTTTATAATGGACTAAGGCTGTAACCATAGGAAGGGACAAACTTCCTTGTAGGCAACTCAGTGTTAGATGATCGTGGTTATGCTTGTGAAGTCTTGTGCTTACTTTTAAAAAAAAAAAAAACTTAAAAAGCTAATTTTTAAAGATTGTAGGGCTTATGTTTTACTTGAATAATTGATAATTTCCTGTGTAATGCTTTGTGGGATGAGAAAAGTTGACTGGTTAGAATTAATTAAATGCTAAGGGAACACAGGGTATTCTTAAGTTAATTTATGTAAATAGACTCTGTTTTCAACTAATATGGCCACAGGAGCCTTTTGAGATTCATTTATATTAAACACAATTAATGAAATTTTACATTGTTAACAGAATTGAGAACTTGAGCAACACTTTTAGTACAGCAGCATTTTTGTGCCCTAATGATTTATAAATGTGCCATACATACACTACAACATAACTTTTGCTTTGTAATGCATTTTATTTCTCTGGGGACACCATTGCACTGCAGTGCACATGTATTTATAAACATTTGTTATTTTTTGGGAAACTTGGTAATATTTATTAAGTCATAGACTTTTCTGGAAGACTTAAAATTTTCACTAAAATCTGATTATGTCTTAAATGTTCAGTTTAGCTTTGGTTTATAAAAATAACAAAAAAAAATCTAAGGTTAAAAACAATAGATATGTCTGGAGGCAATTTTTCAAAACTCGAAATTAAAATTTGTGGATTCATGATATGCAATACTTCAAATATGAAATATATTTTTAATATTTACTTAATACCCATTGAAGATATCCTTCCTTATGTAAGACAACAGGCAGCCATCAGACACTGAAATATGTTATGATAGACTATGAAGAATTTTCTCTGTAGAATTATATTCCTCCTGGAACCTGTAAAGTAGATTAGACTCAAAGGCTTTTTCTACTCACTCTTCCCAAGATATTTTCTAAAGCTTCAAGCTTAGTAAACCTAGTAGTGAAAAACAACTGAATTCAATAATTAAGTTCTTCATTTCCAGACATCTTTAATTGATCTTAAAGCTCATTTGAATCTATGCCCCTGAACAAAGACAGACCTATTAAAATCTAAGAATTCTAAATTTTCACAACTGTTTGAGCTTCTTTTCATTTTGAAGGATTTAGAATACATATACTTTCATAAAAGTATCAGGTGAAATACAGTTACATGGGAGCTCAATCATGTGTATATTCTGTTCTGTTGACTCTCAATAATTAATTTACAACTATCCTCATTTATATTGACCTTAAGAATGCCATTTTATGCAATGCAGACCACTGAGATATATTTTCAAATAAATATAAAGCTAATGTTCTTTCAGATAATTTTCCTTCCCTAATTCCTTTATAGCAAATTTTATGTATAACTGATTATACATATCCATATTTATATTTCAAAAGACATCACTTTTTCACGTTAAAATCTCTGCAATTGTGACATCTCGCCATTGCTGGCACTTCAGATGCAGTGTTTTAAATTATACTTGAATAAATATTACACTAATTCAACTTTAATGTTCACAAGTCTAGGGGAACTTTGTTTTCTTATAAATATTTGAGAGCCCATTTATGATAACATGTGAAGCCAAAATTTCAGGACAACTAAGTCACGTACAACTCAACATGGAGCCTAACTGATTATCAGCTCAGATCCCCCATATCTTGAGTTTACAAAAGTTATTTCAGGCCCCCGCTTATACTTTACGAGAGTGCAAATAATTTCAGCAAACCCTAACTTAACCAACCATTAACAAATTTTTATTCTTTTTAATCTATTCTATGAGATCCTTTCATATTATCATCTCATTTTTAAACAAAATTAACTGGAAAGATATTACATGGAACTATGATAATTAGATTTTGCAGCATCTTGTATGTCTTGTATCAATGGCAGAAGAAAATTAAGGTAAAACCAATCAGTGCTGTGAAAACCAACTTTCTTCTAGAGTCCCCTTCCTTACTTTTTATTCTTCTCTATCATTTGTGGGTTTTTTTCCTCTCCTTGGCTCTGATCACTTTAACTTCAAGCTTATGTAATGACTGTTATAAAACTGCATATTTAAATTATTTGAACTACATGAAATAATTGTTCAGCTATCTGGGCAGCTGTTAATGTGAGCCTGAGAGTAAGAACACTACTCTTTTATCTACCTGTAATACCTTTCTGCATAAAATTTATCTTCGTGAGCCTAACTCTATTATTCAGGTTTCTTCTAGCCTCTACAGCCTACTTCAGTTAAAATTGTCTGATACAATAATAATTTTTTTTAAAAAAAAACTGCAATTGTCAAGGATGGAAAATGTGTGATTTGTGTAAAGAATTTTTACAAACTTTACACTTTCCTGCAGATAAATGTGAAATTTTGATAAGAATCCTACACAATGACAAGTATGGTACATAAATTTTATTAAGAATATTGAGTATAAAATACTTTAATTCTAAATTATAAGAAAATAAAAATTTGCTCATGTTAATATAGAAATTCATTTTGTGTACATTTAACATAGCTTTTAAACTATCTTACATTTATTAGCTACTTCATTATGGTTTTTTGAACTTCTGAAAAAAATTAGAATTGTTTTAAGGTTATCAGTAATATAAAAACTTATTTTGTTTCACCTAACAACTACTGCATTTGTAAAAGGAAATTCAATACAGAATATATATTTAAATTAAAATATTTGAATATAAAATAGCACTAAGAAATAAGCAAATTATCACTGAATGTATTTCTTATTATTTCTGGCTTTGAATTTTACCTAACTTAAATTGTCTAAATGATACAGAATATTGGAAAATATGATACTTTTACATAATATATTATGAACCTGTTCATATAACTCTGATTGACCACTAAACTCTGTTTTATGTATTTATTAAATAGCTGACACTGTAGTTTGTTGTGAGATGTTTATTTTTCTAACAGAGCTTATAACAGGACAAGGCATTTAATTAATGCACCATTCTGTTTAAAAGTAGGTGTTAATATGAAATTGTTTTAAAATAAAAATGTAAAAATCTAAAACACAAAATGCTTCTTTATTTCCTGTGTGTTACATCATTCTCAAAGTTCCAGACAACAGTACATTGTACCACAAGGAAATGTAATAGCATCTATACACTGTCACCAGCAAAAAACATTACGTAATTCCAAAAAGATACTACTAGAAAATTGTAGGGCCAATGATGAACAAGGGAGGACATCCTAGATGTTCTTTTCTTTTTTGATGGTTATTTGCGGTTGAAGCAGAAAAAATATTCTAATGACAAAAACCTGAAAAAATAGCTAAAAGTTAAAACAGGCACTTTCTACATGCCAGAGCCTTCTACCACCTTAAGTAAAACATATTCATAACCTTCAACTGCACATTCTGAAGAGTCATACTTAAATTAATTGAATTTTATTGACTATCCATGTATTGTGATTTTCCTTTATTTACCCTACAGGAGAGAATAAAGCAGAATGTGGTAGATATATTAAAAATAAGACATTTAGACTGATCATCTGTTCTTAAGGAGCTTTTAATAGTTTGAAGGAAAAGATAAAGTGTAATGCACCTGATATGGTTTGGCTGTGTCCCCACCCAAATCTCATCTAGAGTTACCACATGTTGTAGGAGGGACCTAGTGGAAGGTAATGAATCATGGGGACAGATACTTCTGGTGCTATTCCTGTGACAGTGAGTAAGTCTCACAAGATCTGAAGGTTTTAAAAAGGGGAATTTCCCTGCCCAAGCTCTCTTTTCTTTTCTGCCACCAACTGAGATGTGCCTTTTACCTTCTGCCATGATTGTGAGGTCTCCCCAGCCACATGGAGCTGTAAGTCCAATCAACCTCTTTATTTTTGTAAATTGCCTAGTCTTTTTATCAGCAGTATGAAAACTAATGCAGCACCTTTTGATAGAAGATCTGTGCTACAGAGACCAGATGGACACTTAGTGGTACGTTTCACAAGGCCTTTAGACTTGAGAACTCATCTCAATTGTGTTTGGACTACAGTCTTTCAAGCCTAGAATCCTGATATTTTTTTTAATGAGTATTAATTGACCCATTTCTTCCTCTCTTCTTTAGTAAGAGAACCTACCTTTTGAGTTGCAGCAGAGCACAGTTGAGACTCCCAGACTATTTTGTAGCTAAATGTAGAGACAGAATTTAAGGTGGGCCAGTGGGATGGAGGAGGAAGTGATATGTGCAGCCGTGGGGCTCACTTCCTCTTCTTCCTTTTTGTTGTCTGGGACAACTGGAGCAGCTGTCCCAGCAAAGGAAGCCTTGTGCTGAAACTGTTAGAGCTTCCCCTTTAGCTACTGACTGTTCATCTCTAGACATCTCTGTTGGAAAACAATCGTAGCTTAACCATTGCATTTGATTTGATATTATAGCAGATAATCTGTACGGTAACCAATGAAGTTTTCTTTATGTAATTGTCTCACTGAATAATCAGGAGTGAAAAGCATCATTTTCCTTAATTTTTCAAATAGGGAAAACACATCACAGAAAGGTTAAGGATCTTGTATGAATGCATGCAGCCAGTAAGTGGCACTTACTGCAGGATTCATACCCAGATCTATTTTGCTTTCCATAAGTAACTGATCATATGTATTGTGAGCACAGATTTTACTAGTTCAACAATCAGAAGTCAACCTTTGTCCCCACACCCCATAAAATAGATGCAAAAAATAAAGCTGAGGAGTGGATATATGTATACAAATGCTATACAGGAAAACATTAACATTCTTTACAAAGACAAACAAAATGTGAAGTGTACTCAGATGCCAGAGTTAGAAGAGTCAGGAGAATAAGAGGAAGCCCATGGAAGACAGCATCTGGCCTAGTCTTGCAAGAAAGGTATGAATATGCAGAAGGAGGAGGTAAACTGGGAGAATTTAGAATAATAAGTATAACCAAATGCAGGAAAGAGTGTGGACTCCATCCATGAGCATTGAAATCGTATTGAGAGATGGCATTACATAATAAAAGGCAGTAACCAACAGGTCCTAAGTTATGGACAGCTTGATTCCCAGGCTAAGAATTTTGAGCTTTGGTTACTGGGGCAAACTGTAAAAGTTTTGCACAGAAAAGTGGTATTACTGGAGTTGAACATGGTTGACATATAATTACATAAACTGAATATAATTTTAAGTATTAATTTGTATTCTCTAATACTAAATGCAAATAGTAGTTGACACTATTAAATATTTAATGCTATTAAATGCTATCTAATACTAGATTATTAAATACAATTTAATACTACTGTAAAAGAATTGGAAGCAAAGTATTCAAAAGAAAAAAAGATTTGAAATCTAACCTCCTAGTGGCAATCACTTTTATATGT